AAGGCGGCCGCCTGGGTCTCTTTTAGTATGTTATTAATGGCGGCCGTCTGGGTCACTTTTAGCATGCTATCAAAGGCGGCCGCCTACGTCACTTTTAGTATGTTATCAAAGGTGGCGGCCTGGATCACTTTTAGTATGTTTATCAGTGGCGGCTGCCTGGGTCACTTTTAGTATGTCATCAAATGCGGTTGCCTGGGTCACTTTTAGTATGTTATCAAAGGTGGTTGCCTTGGCCACTTTTAGTATGTTATTAAAGGTGGCTGCTTGGGTCACTTTTTGTTTGTTATCAAGAGCGGCAGCCTGGGTCACTTTTAGTATGTTATCAAAGGCGGCCGTCAGGGTCACTATTAGTATGTTATCAAAGGCGGCCGGCTGGGTCACCTTTAGTATGTTATCAAAGGCGGTTGCCTATGTCACTTTTAGTATTTTATCAAAGGCGGCTACCTTGGTTACTTTTAGTATGTTATCAAAGGCGGCTCCCTGAGTCACTTTTAGTATGTTATCAATGGCGGCCGCCTAGGTCACTTTTAAAATCGTATCAGAGGCGGCCGCCTGGGTCACTCTTAGTATGTTATCAAAGGCGACTGTCTGGGTCACTCTTAGTATGTTATCAAAGGCGGCCTCCTAGGTCACTTTTAGTATGTTATTAAAGGCCGCCGCCTGGGTCACTTTTAGTGTTATCAAAGGCGGCCACCTGGGTCACTTTTAGTATGTTATGAAAGGCGTACGCCTGGGTCACTTTTAATATGTTATCAGAGGCGGTTGCCTAGGTCACTTTTTGTATGTTATCAAAAGTGGCCGCCTGGGTCACTTTTAGTATGTTATCAATGGTGGCCGTCTGGGTCACTTTTAGCATGTTATCAAAGGCAGCCGCCTGGATCACTTTTTGTATGTTATCAAAGGTGGCTGCCTGGGTCACTTTTAGTATGTTTATCAATGGCGGGGTCACTTTTAGTATGTTATCAATGGCGGCTACCTGGGTCACTTTTAGTATGTCATCAAAGGCGGTTGCCTGTGTCACTTTTAGCATGTCATCAAAGGCGGCTGCCTAGGTTACTTTTAGTATGTTATCAGTGGCGGCTGCCTTGGTCACTTTTAGTATGTTATCAATGGCGGCTACCTGGGTCACTTTTAGTATGTCATCAAAGGCGGTTGCCTGTGTCACTTTTAGCATGTTATCAATGGCGGCTGCCTTGGTCACTTTTAGTATGTTATCAATGGCGGCTGCCTGGGCCACTTTTTGCTTATTTTCAAGGGCGGCGGCCTGGGTCATTTTTAGTATGTTATCAAAGGCAGCCGTCAGGGTCACTATTAGTATGTTATCAAACGCGGCCCCTGGGTCACTCTTAGCATGTTATCGAAGGTGGCCTGGGTCACTTTTAGTATGTTATCAAAGGCGGCTTCCTCGGTCACTTTTAGTATGTTATCAAAGGTGGCCGTCAGGGTCACTTTTAGTGTGTTATCAAAGGGGGCCGCCTGGGTCACTTTTAGTATGTTATCAGTGGCGGCCGCCTGGGTCACTTTTAGTATGTTATCAAAGGACGCTGCCTTGGTCTCTTTGAGTATGTTATCAAATGCCACCGCCTGGGTCTCTTTGAGTATGTTATCAAAGGCCGCCGCCTGGGTCCCTTTTAGTATGTTATCGAAGGCCGCCGCCTGAGTCACTTTTAGTATGTTGTCAAAGGCCGCCGCCTGGGTCACTTTTAGTTTGTTATCGAAGTCAGCCGCCCGGAGACCGCCTGGGTCACTTTTGGTATGTTATCGAAGGCGGCCGCCTGGGTCACTTTTAGTATGTTATCAAAAGTGGTTGTCTGGGTCACTTTTAGTATGTTTATCAGTGGCGGCTGCCTGAGTGACTTTTAGTATGTTATCAATGGTGGCTGCCTGGGTCACTTTTTATATGTTATCAAATGCCACTGCTTGGGTCACTTTTAGTACGTTATCAAAAGCAACTATCTGAGTCACTTTTAATATGTTATCAAAGGCGACCGCCTGAGTCACTTTTAGTTAGAAATTATTGAAGACTGCAAAATTTCTAAAGATTAATTACAGGGATTAATCAACTAGAAATAAATTTAGAAATCATATTTTGTCTCTTCTTGAAAAAACTTGAAGAAAAAACCAGAACATTTATCATTGATGCGTTACTACATACCAATACCATAGATTTAAAGAGAAATCAAACAAATAATAAAAATGCTGTGTCCGCTGATGAATTTTTTTTCTTTTTAATATATTGAATAAAAAGTATCCGGTGATGAAGTGGAAAATAGCAGTTGTTAAAGAAATTAGAGGCCAGCACAATGCACGTGTACAGACAATTCCAAATCTTCTTTAGCCAGATCCTCACGACCTCAATGGTCTGCATTGTCTTGGGACCCAATAAATACTACTGAAGATTAGAAAAGAAAATGTTACAACACAAGTCAACTAATGTTATCATCACCTTATAGCCGTTTTTCTCAATAAAAAACGAAAAAAAAAAATGCAATCGGCCTAACTACTCTGCACGAGTTCTTATATTACGATCAGTTGCACCAACTGTCCACACCACACACTTATTGCCCATGTGAAGTTCTATCATACAAATCCAAAGATGTGGACTTAGAATCAAAGTTTGACCCAATTCTGCGAATAGATAATAATCTTAAAGAAATGTTAACGTCACTTTTTATGTCACTCTCTAATATATTAAATAATAAATGTAAAAAATAATAAAGAGAATGACATAAAAAGTGACGCTAACATTTATCAATAATCTCTTAATAAGTTGTGATTTAAATCAAGAACTTCATATTCTTTTATTTTATTTAGATTTCTCACGAATTCTTTTTTCTTTTTCTTTTTTTTTTTGTTGCTTTTCTTTTTCTTGGCTGGAAGATCATTTTTTTTCTTGTTCCTTGCAAAAAGAGAATTAAAAGCAATTCTTAGTCTTTGATACTTCAAGGTGAACATTTATCTGAAAAACTTGACAGAATTCATGGGAATTGAAAAGATAGACTAAGATGAGAAGTGAGAAGGCTAATCGATGTAGTGAGAAGGATCTCATTTTTATGGCGTATTGGGAATATCTTACAGTTAAATAAGGTAAAATTTCTTATTTTTATAGGGTCTTTTAGCGACGTCAGATTTGGACGATAAATATGTGTTTTTTGAGTGGAAACGACTCAATAGACAAAACTCGTTGCTTTGCCACGAAGTGAGACATTTTTCGGTCTAATTTCATCATTTAGGCCTTCAAAAGGGCGTTTTTCCATTTTTAGTAATTTTTATTTTTGTAATAAGTTGACCTAGAAGATTCGAATTCCAGCTCTGATTGCGTTTTCTTTTTCTTTGTGTCTAGTAGTTTTAATTCTTGTTTTCGGTTCAAATTTTTTCTTTTTTAGAAAATGTCGTATATTATTAATTTTTATTTTAGACTAGACTAGTTTCCAATTTATATTTTATCTCTATATTTAGAAGCTCTCTTGTAATGAAAACCAGTTCAATTGAATAAAATTTTAAATTTTCTCTTAATTTTCTCCCAAATTCCCTCATCTTACAGGTGTTCCCTAATGAGGGATTTTAGGAGATTAGGGTTCTCCTTTATCTCCTCCACCCATCCGCGGAGGGTTTCAGTATCCATCTCCGCAGATATTTCCAGATCGCGAGACATAATGTTCTCTGCAGCACTGGAATAGATTTCTGCCATTTCCGGAAAGTGAACGCCGCCCTTTCCCCTTCTCACAATGTTCCCGCTTCGGCAAGTTTGTTTTTCCCGTTCCGGACCGGGAAATGAAAGAATCTAGAGATGGTTCCTATCGATAGAAAGTAAAAGATTCATAGTATACCAGGTTGAAGAGACTTCTGAAAGCTCATTTGCAATCAGCTAGGTCAGATTCTGGTAATGGATAACATTGGATCGAGATTAGTTGACCTTCAGCGGCAATAGCATCTCCTTGTGCCCCCTGGTTTGGTACCGAAGAGGACGCCTTCCCATATGTTTTTTCAATCCAGGACTCGCCAGAGAGTTCTAGTTCTGGAAGAGGCGAGTTCCCAGAAGGAGAGGGAGCCATCGTGGAAATATGCCCCGGGGTACCCGTAGCGTTCGTGATCGGCCTACTCAACTGTGTATCGATCGAAAGGCAGGGCGGCACAGCCCCCAACCAAGGGAGTGGTTACGTCCAGTATGTCCCCCCTTATTCCCGACATGCTATAGTGCCCCGGGGTGGGTAGGAGCGGGTCGAGGCCGTATCGCCGCGGAGCTACAGCCGCGTCCCGATCTGATCTATCTACTCGGCAATTCATTCGGTGAATTAACGATTTTTCAAGCAATTTCCTTATATGCTATGTAAATCAACACGCTAACTGATTTATTCTTTAATTTTATTGTTCCGTTTTCTTCCTTTAATTCAGCTTCCACTGCATCACTAATGGAAGGATTTTGGGACCCTGTTTGGTAGGAGAAAAAGGGGGGAAGATAACCCCAATTTAATCTCTCAAAATAGGAGTTAATGCGAATTCATACCAAACACATTAAAAGACCATCTTCTCCTTTATCTCCTATATCTCCAAACACAGCATACATATCGTACATACATACATATCGGACATATAAGAAATGGACTGTGGACATAAGAAATTCAAAAAAAAAAAAAAAAGCAAGAAAACAAACAAAAAAAAAAAAGGGATT